ATGAATTTAGAAACAACTCACTCAGAAGTGTTCAAGAAATGGCAAAGTACTTTATCCACAGTGGTATATTACAGACCATTCTGGAGAAATACCCTGACTTTGCTAGCTGTAAATAAAGCATTACCACATATGTGCATGTGTGTGTGTGTGTGTGTACTCACCTATTTGTACTCACCTATTTGTGGTTGCAGGGGGTCGAGTCCTAGCTCCTGGCCCCGCCTCTTCACCGGTTGCTACTAGGCCCTCTCTCTCCCCGCTCCATGAGCTTTATCAAACCTCGTCTTAAAACTGTGTATGGTTCCTGCCTCCACTACGTCATTTTCTAGGCTATTCCACTGCCTTACAACTCTATGACTGAAGAAATACTTCCTACTATCTCTCTGACTCATTTGTGTCTTCAACTTCCAATTGTGGCCTCTTGTTTCTGTGTCCCCTCCCTGGAACATCCTGTCTTTGTCCACCTTGTCTGATAAATTAGACACATGTGCAACTCTTGGGTATCTTTATTGAGGAAACGTTTCGCCACACAGTGGCTTCATCAGTCCATACATAGGAGAAAAACTTGAAGAACAGGAGGAGAATGAGGTAATCAGTCCCTCAACCTTGAGTCGATGTGTTCAGTCCATCAATCTTGAGTAGAATACGGCAGATGAGCGGAGAAGCAGCTTAAAAAAACCGTATGGCAGGAGAGGTGTAGCAGTCATAGGTAGTGTCACATTTGTTCATGTGGAAGTAGGTTGTGCCCAAGAATTAGGCAGCGAAAGAATTCCTAAGTATTAAGATCCCAAGAAGTTGCAGTGTCTGACAGGTTTGTAGATGAATGGTTCAGAGAACCGACATGTTGATAAATTAGACACATGTGTCTAATTTATCAACATGTCGGTTCTCTGAACCATTCATCTATGCACCTTGTCTATTCCACGCAGTACTTTATATGTCGTTATCATGTCTCCCCTGACCCTCCTGTCTCCAGTGTCGTCAGGCCGATTTCCCTTAATCTTTCTTCATAGGACATTCCCTTAGCTCTGGAACTAACCTTGTCGCAAACCTTTGTACTTTCTCTAGTTTCTTGACGTGCTTTATCAAGTGCGGGTTCCAAACAGGTGCTGCATACTCCAGTATGGGCCTGACATACACGGTGTACAGTGTCTTGAATGATTCCTTACTAAGGTATCGGAATGCTGTTCTCAGGTTTGCCAGGCGCCCATATGCTGCAGCAGTTATCTGATTTATGTGTGCTTCCGGAGACATGCTCGGTGTTATACTCACCCCAAGATCTTTCTCCTTGAGTGAGGTTTGCAGTCTTTGGCCACCTAGCCTATACTCTGTCTGTGGTCTTCTGTGCCCTTCCCCTATCTTCATGACTTTGCATTTGGCAGGATTAAATTCGAGAAGCCATTTGCTGGACCAGGTGTCCAGTCTGTCCAGGTCTCTTTGAAGTCCTGCCTGGTCTTCATCAGATTTAATTCTCCTCATTACTTCACATCATCTGCAAACAGGGACACTTCTGATCCAACCCTTCCGTCATGTCGTTCACATTATACCAAAAATAGCACTGGTCCTAGGACCGACCCCTGTGGGACCCCGCTCGTCACAGGTGCCCACTGTGATACATCATTTACGTACCATGACTCGTTGTTGCCTCCCTGTCAGGTATTCTCTGATCCATTGCAGTGCCTTCCTGTTATATGCGCCTGATGCTCTAGCTTCTGCACTAATCTCTTGTGAGGAACTGTGTCAAAGGCCTTCTTGCAGTCCAAGAAGATGCAATCAACCCACCCCTCTCTCTCTTGTCTTACTTCTGTTATTTTATCATAAAACTCCAGAAGGTTTGTGACACAGGATTTGCCTTCCGTGAATCCGTGCTGGTTGGCATTTATACTCCTGTTCCTTCAGGTGCTCCACCACTCTCCTCCTGACAATCTTCTCCATAATTTTGCATACTATACACGTCAATGACACAGGTCTATAGTTTAGTGCCTCTTTTCTGTCTCCTTTTTTAAAAATGGGAACTACATTTACCGTCTTCCATACCTCAGGTAGTTGCCCATTTCCAGGGATGTGTTGAAGATGTGGCAATTGGTACGCACACATATCTGCTCCCTCTCTAAGGCCCACGGGGATGTTGTCCGGTCCCATTGCCTTTGAGGTACGATGTCCCTTAGCAGTTTCTTCACCTCCGTCCTCATCTGTTTGTTCGTCCAACACTTGTTGGTGTATTCCTTGCTGGTGTCCCCATCTGGTCTGTCCCCCAAGTCCTTCCTGCTCTACTGTAAATACTTCCTTAAATCTCGTGTTGAGCTCCTCACATACCTCTTGATCGTTTCTTGTGAGTTCTCCACCTTCTTTCCTCAGCCTTATCACCTGGTCCTTGACTGTTGTCTTCCTCCTAATGTGGCTATACAACAGTTTCGGGTCAGATTTGACTTTCGATGCTATGTCGTTTTCATACTGTCGCTGGGCCTCCCTCCTTATCTGTTGCATACTCGTTTCTGGCTTCTTATACTAATCTCCTGTTTTCCTGGGTCCTATGACTCCTGTACCTTTTCCATTCTCTGTTGCACTTATTTTTGCCTCCCTACACCTTTCGGGTAAACCAAGGACTCGTTTTGGTCTTCCTATTATTTCTGTTTCCTTGGGAACAAAAACTTTCCTCTGCTCTTCCTTTTTGCACTTTGTTGCCACATATTCCATCATCTCGTTTACTCATTTTCCTACCATTTCTCTGTCCCACTGAACTCCTGCAGAAGTTTCTCATACCTGTGTAGTCCCCCCTTTATAGTTTGGCCTGTCCCCTTCAGTTCCTGTTACCTTCTCCACTTGTACTCTACTATATAGTCAAAACTCAGCACCACATGATCGCTAGCTCCAAGGGGCCTCTCGTAAGTGATGTCCTCAATGTCCGAACTGCTCAGGTGAAACACAAGATCCAGTCTTGCTGGCTCATTCTCCCCTCTCTCTCTGGTTGTGTCCCTGCATGTTGATGCATGAGGTTTTCAAGTACCACATCCTCATCTTGGCTCTCCATGTTTCGGGACCCCCATTGGATCCAGGTTTTCCCAGTCGATCTCCCTGTGGTGGAAATCGCCCATTACCAGTAACTTTGCTCTGCTCGAGTGAGCTCTTCTTGCCACCTCAGCCAGTGTGTCCACCATCACCCTGTTGTTTTCTTCGTACTCCTCTCTTGGCCTCCTGCAGTTCTGTGGTGGTTATACATCACTCCAATGACTACTTTATGTTCTCTCCGGACTGAATTGTACCTACAATGTAGTCTCTTTCTCCAATCATGTCCATGCCTTCCATTTCCTCAAATCCCCCATCAAGTGTTTTATGAGCAGTGCACCCCTCCTCCCCCTCTACTCCTTCTATCTTTCCTCAGGATTGATATCCTGTTGGGAAGATTGTGTCTGTTATTGTCTCAGCAAAGTTTTGTTTCTGTAAATGCTATGATGTTGGGGATTTTTCACTGATTCTTTCATTCCACTCTCATGTTTATTCGTTTTTCCCACCCGCGTTTGTGTACCAAACCTTTAGTTTCTTTTCTATCATTGTGGTCATGCAAAAATATTGGGGTTGGGGGAGGGAGAGCCTTGGTGGGGGCCTATATGGGGCTGTGGTGTAGGTGGGGTTGTGTTGATGGGGGTGGGGTCAGAATGCCCATAAGGGACAGCTGTTGGGGTGGGGTTTTGGGTGATATGGTGGTTGGTGGTAGAGGGAACAGTGAGTGGGTTGTAGTATAGGTTGCCAGTTGCTTTGGGGAATGTCGGGGGTGGAGTCTTTTGGTGGAGATTCTGTGGGTGTGTTTTGCCCTTTCCTCCTGTGTCTGGGTCCTGCTCATTTTCATTGCTTTCCCGTTCCTCCTTGCGTCTCTGTACCCTCTCTTTCAGTGTAGTCCTTTCTTCTTGTTTTTCTGTCCCCGGTCGAGGTATACTCTCTGGTACCCCCTTTGTCCCCCCAGTCTTGCTTTCTCTTGCAGAATCCTGGTTCGAACTGATTCTTCCTTGAAAGTTTACTCTGACAGGCCGTATCCTTCCCCTCGCAAACCACCCAATTTCTGAAAATTTGTCACCTGGGTCATATTGCCCTCCCCTATTGTTTCATGATGCTTCAAACATTTTTTTCTCCTCCTGTTTTATTTCTTCAAAGTTGGCCCCCTTGGCTTCTTGTGTGGGGTGTGTGTGTTGTGTGTGTGTGTGTGTGTGTGTGTGTGTGTGTGTGTGTGTGTGTGAGTGTTTGTGTGTGTGGTGGGGTGTGCGTGTGTATGTGTTTGAGTGTGTGAGTGTGTGTGTGTTTGTGTGTGTGTCTGTTGAGGTTGGCAAGATGTTTGACGCAACATGTCAAACTTTTCCTGGTCCGCTTATTTAAAATATTGTGGCCTTAAAACACCTTATATATGTGTTGTGTATGTGTAATGGGGCGAAATGTGCACTGTTGCGTAAGGCAATGGGTCGATTACATCAGCCAGAAGGTAGAAATGTGCACAAATACGTGCACGGGTCGCATTCGTATTTGCTCGTCAACAAACGTTCTGTGCAGAGGCTCTCCAGGTGTGCCAAATTTCCTCTAGTTATTCAATATTTTTCTTTGAGTTGTTTTAGCCATCGTGATTTATGTCATCGTTGTGGTTTAATATTTTGTGGTTGTTTAAGCTGATTTATGGATTAGTAAAGTGGTTGGAAGTGTTGAAAATGAGTGTAATAAGAGTGATATGTGGCACCTGCTGATCACATGATGCCAATGGCGTAGTTAACAAGAGTATCCGAAGCTTTCATTACTTTATATTTATATTGGTAATACGCAGGTGATTTCAAACTTCTAATTACTCTGAGTGAAAAGCATTTTATTTAAGTACACTATTATGATGCATAAGGGTAAGAAATATGGCTGAAATTAGCTGAAATATGGGCATTATGGTTGAAATTCCAGCAACACTTAGCAACAAGATACGAGGCATCACCCCAGTGGCTGCTGCTGCCGGACGTCAGTCACCGCTCCACCACGGAGAAGGATAGACGTCTTTTCTCTGCCTCTACATTCTACATTTCTGCCTATAATCGTCCCATTATTCCAAGTTAGTGTTGTAGACCCTAAGTTGTATAATTAAGTTCCCTTGAGTCGTCTTCTGGGGGATGTTAGTTACTGAAATAGCTGATTTATCTAATGTCTTTGTCTGGTACTTTTATATAGATGACTCACCTCCATTTAAAATGACGGGATCTTGATCCAAGGAACTGGATCTAGTATTACCTTGGATCAGTCTTAAAAACTGACCAACGTTAAGTTAGTTTTATCATGGATATTATTGTGCAAAAGTAACAAATATTTCTTAACCTTACTCCACCAGCGGTAGATCAGATTCGCTTTTTATTACTATTATAACTTATTATTAGAATTATTATAATTTCTATAATTATTATACTATTATTACTATATTTATTGTAAATTACTATTATAATTATTGTAAATTATTATTATTAATAAACGAGGGACTGAGAATGTAAAACAACGTGTATTATACGTGTCCAGTTCCTGGTCATAACACGTTCCTGACGTTTGTGTCCCGCCGCTGGGTGGTCAGCGCACTCACACCTCCCGGGATCGAACCCCAGTACGGCTGGAAAATATTAGGGATGTGTTTCCTTAAGACACCTGCTGTTTATGTCCACCCATGAGTGTACGTGGGTGTTAGTGGACTGGTGTGGGTGGCATCCTGGGTGTTAGTGGACTGGTGTGGGTCACATCCTGGGTGTTAGTGGACTGGTGTGGGTGGCATCCTGGGTGTTAGTGGACTGGTGTGGGTCACATCCTGGGTGTTAGTGGACTGGTGTGAGTGGCATCCTGGGTGTTAGTGGACTGGTGTGGGTCACATCCTGGGTGTTAGTGGACTGGTGTGGGTGGCATCCTGGGTGTTAGTGGACTGGTGTGGGTCACATCCTGGGTGTTAGTGGACTGGTGTGGGTCACATCCTGGGTGTTAGTGGACTGGTGTGGGTCGCATCCTGGGTGTTAGTGGACTGGTGTGGGTGGCATCCTGGGTGTTAGTGGACTGGTGTGGGTCACATCCTGGGTGTTAGTGGACTGGTGTGGGTCACATCCTGGGTGTTAGTGGACTGGTGTGGGTGGCATCCTGGGTGTTAGTGGACTGGTGTGGGTCACATCCTGGGTGTTAGTGGACTGGTGTGGGTGGCATCCTGGGTGTTAGTGGACTGGTGTGGGTCACATCCTGGGTGTTAGTGGACTGGTGTGGGTCACATCCTGGGTGTTAGTGGACTGGTGTGGGTGGCATCCTGGGTGTTAGTGGACTGGTGTGGGTCACATCCTGGGTGTTAGTGGACTGGTGTGGGTCACATCCTGGGTGTTAGTGGACTGGTGTGGGTCACATCCTGGGTGTTAGTGGACTGGTGTGGGTGGCATCCTGGGTGTTAGTGGACTGGTGTGGGTCACATCCCGGGTGTTAGTGGACTGGTGTGGGTCACATCCTGGGTGTTAGTGGACTGGTGTGGGTGGCATCCTGGGTGTTAGTGGACTGGTGTGGGTCACATCCTGGGTGTTAGTGGACTGGTGTGGGTCACATCCTGGGTGTTAGTGGACTGGTGGTGGGTCGCATCCTGGGTGTTAGTGGACTGGTGTGGGTCACATCCTGGGGTGTTAGTGGACTGGTGTGGGTCACATCCTGGGTGTTAGTGGACTGGTGTGGGTCGCATCCTGGGTGTTAGTGGACTGGTGTGGGTGGCATCCTGGGTGTTAGTGGACTGGTGTGGGTCACATCCTGGGTGTTAGTGGACTGGTGTGGGTCACATCCTGGGTGTTAGTGGACTGGTGTGGGTCGCATCCTGGGTGTTAGTGGACTGGTGTGGGTGGCATCCTGGGTGTTAGTGGACTGGTGTGGGTGGCATCCTGGGTGTTAGTGGACTGGTGTGGGTGGCATCCTGGGTGTTAGTGGACTGGTGTGGGTGGCATCCTGGGTGTTAGTGGACTGGTGTGGGTGGCATCCTGGGTGTTAGTGGACTGGTGTGGGTGGCATCCTGGGTGTTAGTGGACTGGTGTGGGTGGCATCCTGGGTGTTAGTGGACTGGTGTGGGTGGCATCCAGGGTGTTAGTGGACTGGTGTGGGTGGCATCCTGGGTGTTAGTGGACTGGTGTGGGTGGCATCCTGGGTGTTAGTGGACTGGTGTGGGTGGCATCCTGGGTGTTAGTGGACTGGTGTGGGTGGCATCCTGGGTGTTAGTGGACTGGTGTGGGTGGCATCCTGGGTGTTAGTGGACTGGTGTGGGTGGCATCCTGGGTGTTAGTGGACTGGTGTGGGTGGCATTCTGGGTGTTAGTGGACTGGTGTGTGTGGCATCCTGGGTGTTAGTGGACTGGTGTGGGTCACATCCTGGGTGTTAGTGGACAGGGGTGGGTGGCATCCTGGGTGTTAGTGGACTGGTGTGGGTGGCATCCTGGGTGTTAGTGGACTGGTGTGGGTGGCATCCTGGGTGTTAGTGGACTGGTGTGGGTGGCATCCTGGGTGTTAGTGGACTGCTGTGGGTGGCATCCTGGGTGTTAGTGGACTGGTGTGGGTGGCATCCTGGGTGTTAGTGGACTGGTGTGGGTGGCATCCTGGGTGTTAGTGGACTGGTGTGTGTGGCATCCTGGGTGTTAGTGGACTGGTGTGGGTCACATCCTGGGTGTTAGTGGACAGGGGTGGGTGGCATCCTGGGTGTTAGTGGACTGGTGTGGGTGGCATCCTGGGTGTTAGTGGACTGGTGTGGGTGGCATCCTGGGTGTTAGTGGACTGGTGTGGGTGGCATCCTGGGTGTTAGTGGACTGGTTGTGGGTGGCATCCTGGGTGTTAGTGGACTGGTTGGGTGGCATCCTGGGTGTTATGGACTGGTGTGGGTGGCATCCTGGGTGTTAGTGGACTGGTGTGGGTGGCATCCTGGGTGTTAGTGGACTGTGTGGGTGGGCATCCTGGGTGTTAGTGGACTGGTGTGGGTGGCATCCTGGGTGTTAGTGGACTGGTGTGGGTCACATCCTGGGTGTTAGTGGACTCGTGTGGGTGGCATCCTGGGTGTTAGTGGACTGGTGTGGGTCACATCCTGGGTGTTAGTGGACTGGTGTGGGTCACATCCTGGGTGTTAGTGGACTGGTGTGGGTGGCATCCTGGGTGTTAGTGGACTGGTGTGGGTCACATCCTGGGTGTTAGTGGACTGGTGTGGGTGGCATCCTGGGTGTTAGTGGACTGGTGTGGGTCACATCCTGGGTGTTAGTGGACTGGTGTGGGTGGCATCCTGGGTGTTAGTGGACTGGTGTGGGTGGCATCCTGGGTGTTAGTGGACTGGTGTTGGGTGGCATCCTGGGTGTTAGTGGACTGGTGTGGGTGGCATCCTGGGTGTTAGTGGACTGGTGTGGGTGGCATCCTGGGTGTTAGTGGACTGGTGTGGGTGGCATCCTGGGTGTTAGTGGATGGTGTGGGGGCATCCGGGTGTTAGTGGACTGATGGGGTCACATCCTGGGTGTTAGTGGACTAGTGTGGGTCACATCCTGGGTGTTAGTGGACTGGTGTGGGTCACATCCTGGGTGTTAGTGGACTGGTGTGGGTCACATCCTGGGTGTTAGTGGACTGGTGTGGGTCACATCCTGGGACTAAACTGACCTAATTTGCGGGAAATGCTCAGCATAACAAGGGACTTTCTATATAGTAGTATGTCACTGATGTCAGTGACCCGGTGGTCTGGTGGCTAAAGCTCCCGCTTCACACACGGAGGGCCCGGGTTCGATTCCCGGTGGGTGGAAACATTTGACACGTTTCCTTACACCTGTTGTCCTGTTCACCTAGCAGCAAATAGGTACCTGGGTGTTAGTCGACTGGTGTGGGTCGCATCCTGGGGGACAAGATTAAGGACCCCAATGGAAATAAGTTAGACAGTCCTCGATGACGCACTGACTTTCTTGGGTTATCCTGGGTGGCTAACTCTCCGGGGTTAAAAATCCGAACGAAATCTTATCTTATCTTATCTTATGATCTGTATAAATTGCATCAGACACTGCCAAAAATAAATATATTATTCCTGTGCCAGGAGCTGTGAATCGACCCCAGAAACCACAATTAGGCAAGTACACTTAAATATAGTAAAATATTCAAATCAATTTTTACCAAGTTAATCCAGTTGAATTTTCTCTAAAGTGACTTTTTGATTTTAATTCCCCAACAGGAAGATGACATGTTCCTTTGACTTCACGAACAGTTTGATGTAAGTATAAAAAATAATGATTATTGTATATTTTTTGGACGGTGCCATTTTTTTTCTCCCTTTTTTTTTCTCAATTTTGGGCCTAATTGTACCGGCAAGATAACTGGTTTTTCCGAAATGTTGAAAGTTGCTGCTGTCTGAGCTTAACCAGAATGTTTAATTTATTGTAATTAAAGAAAATTGGTGTTTATAGTTACCTCAGTTTATAGTGACCTCAGTTTGTAGTGACCTCAGTTTATAGTGACCTCAGTTTGTAGCGACCTCAGTTTATAGTGACCTCAGTTTGTAGCGACCTCAGTTTATAGTGACCTCAGTTTGTAGCGACCTCAGTTTATAGTGACCTCAGTTTGTAGCGACCTCAGTTTGTAGTGACCTCAGTTTGTAGCGACCTCAGTTTGTAGTGATCTCAGTTTGTAGCGACCTCAGTTTGTAGTGATCTCAGTTTGTAGCGACCTCAGTTTGTAGTGATCTCAGTTTGTAGCGACCTCAGTTTGTAGTGATCTCAGTTTGTAGCGACCTCAGTTTGTAGTGATCTCAGTTTGTAGTGACCTCAGTTTGTAGTGATCTCAGTTTGTAGCGACCTCAGTTTGTAGCGACCTCAGTTTGTAGTGATCTCAGTTTGTAGCGACCTCAGTTTGTAGTGACCTCAGTTTGTAGTGACCTCAGTTTGTAGTGATCTCAGTTTGTAGCGACCTCAGTTTGTAGTGATCTCAGTTTGTAGCGACCTCAGTTTGTAGTGATCTCAGTTTGTAGCGACCTCAGTTTGTAGCGACCTCAGTTTGTAGTGATCTCAGTTTGTAGCGACCTCAGTTTGTAGTGACCTCAGTTTGTAGCGACCTCAGTTTGTAGCGACCTCAGTTTATAGTGACCTCAGTTTATAGTGACCTCAGTTTGTAGCGACCTCAGTTTGTAGCGACCTCAGTTTTTAGCGACCTCAGTTTGTAGTGACCTCAGTTTGTAGTGATCTCAGTTTTTAATGGCCTCAGTTTGTAGCGACCTCAGTTTGTAGCGACCTCAGTTTGTAGCGACCTCAGTTTGTAGCGACCTCAGTTTATAGTGACCTCAGTTTGTAGTGATCTCAGTTTGTAGTGATCTCAGTTTTTAATGGCCTCAGTTTGTAGCGACCTCAGTTTGTAGCGACCTCAGTTTGTAGTGACCTCAGTTTGTAGTGATCTCAGTTTTTAATGGCCTCAGTTTGTAGCGACCTCAGTTTGTAGCGACCTCAGTTTGTAGTGACCTCAGTTTGTAGTGACCTCAGTTTATAGTGACCTCAGTTTATAGTGACCTCAGTTTGTAGCGACCTCAGTTTGTAGCGACCTCAGTTTGTAGCGACCTCAGTTTGTAGCGACCTCAGTTTGTAGTGACCTCAGTTTATAGTGACCTCAGTTTGTAGCGACCTCAGTTTGTAGTGATCTCAGTTTTTAATGGCCTCAGTTTGTAGCGACCTCAGTTTGTAGCGACCTCAGTTTGTAGCGACCTCAGTTTGTAGCGACCTCAGTTTGTAGCGACCTCAGTTTGTAGCGACCTCAGTTTGTAGCGACCTCAGTTTGTAGCGACCTCAGTTTGTAGCGACCTCAGTTTGTAGCGACCTCAGTTTGTAGCGACCTCAGTTTGTAGCGACCTCGGTTTGTAGCGACCTCGGTTTGTAGCGACCTCAGTTTGTAGTGATCTCAGTTTGTAGTGATCTCAGTTTTTAATGGCCTCAGTTTGTAGCGACCTCAGTTTGTAGTGACCTCAGTTTGTAGTGACCTCAGTTTGTAGCGACCTCAGTTTGTAGCGACCTCGGTTTGTAGCGACCTCGGTTTGTAGCGACCTCGGTTTGTAGCGACCTCAGTTTATAGTGACCTCAGTTTATAGTGACCTCAGTTTGTAGCGACCTCAGTTTGTAGTGACCTCAGTTTATAGTGACCTCAGTTTGTAGCGACCTCAGTTTGTAGCGACCTCAGTTTATAGTGACCTCAGTTTGTAGCGACCTCAGTTTGTAGTGATCTCAGTTTTTAATGGCCTCAGTTTGTAGCGACCTCAGTTTGTAGTGATCTCAGTTTGTAGTGATCTCAGTTTGTAGCGACCTCAGTTTGTAGCGACCTCAGTTTGCAGCGACCTCAGTTTGCAGCGACCTCAGTTTGCAGCGACCTCAGTTTGCAGCGACCTCAGTTTGCAGCGACCTCAGTTTGCAGCGACCTCAGTTTGCAGCGACCTCAGTTTGTAGCGACCTCAGTTTGCAGCGACCTCAGTTTGCAGCGACCTCAGTTTGCAGCGACCTCAGTTTGCAGCGACCTCAGTTTGCAGCGACCTCAGTTTGCAGCGACCTCAGTTTGCAGCGACCTCAGTTTGCAGCGACCTCAGTTTGCAGCGACCTCAGTTTGCAGCGACCTCAGTTTGCAGCGACCTCAGTTTGCAGCGACCTCAGTTTGTAGCGACCTCAGTTTGTAGCGACCTCAGTCTGTAGCGACCTCAGTTTGTAGCGACCTCAGTTTTTAATGACCTCAGATTGTAGCGACCTCAGCTCACACATTGAGGGACTGGGGGTCAAACCTCAGGTGAGCAGAAATGGTAGGCATGTTTCCTTGCACTTGCTGTCCCTGTTCACCTAGTAGAAAGTAGGTACCTGGGCGTTAGGTGATTGGTGTGGGTCGCATCCTGGGGAGCAGATTTAAAGGTCCACAGTGGAAAAATGACACGACAGTTTGATAACATCCTGACGATGCTGGGTTATCCTGGGTTAATAATCCGAACAAAATGTTTATCTTGGATTAACAGTAATCCTGAATAGCCTGATTATTATTATTATTATTACAATCTTAACTAAGCACTAAACCTATATGGGTCATATAGCTAGATAGCCTAAAGAAATCCATTAAGTTTTATTTCCTTTGCGGTCTTTCGGTTGTCATCCACAGTATGCGACTCAAAACTGTCTATTATCACCCAGATTCCTACTTAATGTTAGTTGAAGAGGAAAAAACTGGCATGATAGCATATACCCAATATCACCCGACCCTGGATTGAACCAGAGTTCTTTGATTGTGAGCTAAAGGCAAGATAAAAACACATCAGTTTCAGCTTATTTTAAGGTATAAAGTTGTAAAGTAAAGTACGTAGCCCATAAACCCAGGATAAGTAATAATATACGACTATTAATAGAATGGATTACGTGTGCAACATACAGAAAGACTTTTTTAACAATAGTAATTATCTTCAAAAAATGGATTAACATTCATCAATCATTTTTAGACAGTTTTCAAAAGATGTAAAGATAGAAAGTGCAGTAATAGCAATAATTTTTATTTCAGAAAGTGTTTGTACAGAGATAAGCGACATTATGGTTGTGGATTTAGAAATCCCATAGGTATTCAGAGCATTTTGGGTATGCCGTAGGCTACAGACCATTAATTTTTTACCATTGATTGGTTCATTGAGTACCAGAGTTAATAGAGTGTTCCAAAATATTTTTAGTATCTGAAAAGCAAAATTTATGGTCATTTGATATCTTGTTATTAATTTTTATGTTTGCAGATCAATTGAAGGCGACATGGATGATCCCGATATGTTTACGCATTTATCTGAAGGAAAATACATAAATTCCTTTGGTGATAATGAAACAAAGACTGTACTTGTCGCAAGGAGTCTCTTGCCTCTTGGCTACCAGATTATGCCAGAGGAATTTCGAAATGGAACATTTAATACCCCATGTGCCTTACCAGCTGGATTGGCAATTAGTGTTGAAGACATTAATGACCACACTACAGAGCCAGTGTATCAGTGCGCAGAACCCCCCAATAACACAGGCACTGAACCACAAGAACCTTCGAACATCATAGACACTGAACCACAAGCCTTTGAACGCATGATTAGACACACAAGTGAGGATATACGGATCTATCCATTAGCATCAGAGAAGACAAAAAATCCACCATACCTGGTAGGTATTATTATTATTATTATTATTATTATTATTATTATTATTATTATTATTATTATTATTACAATCTTAACTAAGCACAAACCTCACTAGGGTTCATGGTATTATTATTATTAACCTGGTAAGTAGATAACCAATTGCTGTATATATTCTGTAATGTTAAGATACGACCATCATATTACAATCAAGTTTGTGCTAGTGTATAAATGAACATCAGAATGGTATACAATACCGACAGGTTGTTAGGTAAGACACATATGCAACAGTTAGACATCTTTATTCCGAAACGTTTCGCCTACACAGTAGGCTTCTTCAGTCGAATACAGAAAGTAGGCAGGAGCAGTAGAGATTGAAGACGATGTAATCAGTCCATCACCCTTAAAGTCGTAGAATTTGAGGTTGTCAGTCCCTCGGCCTGGAGAAGTTCAGTTCCATAGTCAGGAACTATCTGAAGATCAAGCGACAGTGCGGAGGCTTAAATACTGTCGGAAGGAGAGGTGCAGGGTAGTAGTAGTAGTAGTAGTAGTAGTAGTGAGAGGCAACTGAGAGGTCATGTCCCTCTCAGATCCAACCCTTCTCACTTGAAAAGCTTGTCCAAGGTGTTTTCTGTACCAAGATGCCACGTGTTGCAGTGTCTGACAAGATGAACATCAAAATGGTATACAATACCGACAGGTTGTTAGGTAAGACACATATGCAACAGTTAGACATCTTTATTCGGAAACGTTTCACCTACACAGTAGGCTTCTTCAGTCGAATACAGAAAGTAGGCAGGAGCAGTAGAGATGTGAAGACGATGTAATCAGTCCATCACCCTTAAAGTCGTAGAATTTGAGGTTGTCAGTCCCTCGGCCTGGAGAAGTTCAGTTCCATAGTCAGGAACTATCTGAAGATCAAGCGACAGTGCGGAGGCTTAAATACTGTCGGAAGGAGAGTGCAGGGTAGTAGTAGTAGTAGTAGTAGTAGTAGTAGTAGTAGTAGTGAGAGGCAACTGAGAGGTCATGTCCCTCTCAGATCCAACCCTTCTCACTTGAAAAGCTTGTCCAAGGTGTTTTCTGTACCAAGATGCCACGTGTTGCAGTGTCTGACAAGATGAACATCAAAATGGTATACAATACCGACAGGTTGTTAGGTAAGACACATATGCAACAGTTAGACATCTTTATTCCGAAACGTTTCGCCTACACAGTAGGCTTCTTCAGTCGAATACAGAAAGTAGGCAGGAGCAGTAGAGATGTGAAGACGATGTAATCAGTCCATCACCCTTAAAGTCGTAGAATTTGAGGTTGTCAGTCCCTCGGCCTGGAGAAGTTCAGTTCCATAGTCAGGAACTATCTGAAGATCAAGCGACAGTGCGGAGGCTTAAATACTGTCGGAAGGAGAGGTGCAGGGTAGTAGTAGTAGTAGTAGTAGTAGTAGTAGTGATCTGAGAGGGACATGACCTCTCAGGTGCCTCTCACTACTACTACTACTACTACTACTACTATCTACCCTGCACCTCTCCTTCCGACAGTATTTAACCCTTTGACTGTTTTCGACGTATAAATACGTCTTACGAGCCAATGTTTCTGACGTATATATACTCAATAATTCTAGCGGCTTCAAATCAAGTGGGAGAAAGCTGGTAGGCCCACATGTGAGAGAATGGGTCTGTGTGGTCAGTGTGCACCACATAAAAAAAATCCTGCAGCACACATTGCGTAATGAGAAAAAAAAAACTCTGATCGTTTTTTTGGAATAAAACGCCGACTTTGAGGTGTATTTTCGTATAGTATTTATCGTTGTATTCGCGTTTTCATGGTCTTAGGTGATAAAATGGAAAACATGTTACAGAAATGGAGATGATTTTCGTTACTTTGACGATGAAAACGACGTTGAAACTGAGCTCAAAGTAGCGGAAATGTTCGATTTTTACCAATGTTCAAGAGTAAATAAATCACACCACACGTCCAATACACGTCAACTGGGGAGTCTAATATTCTTTCACTAGTGCACTGATATTATTTATACCATTTTTACAATAATGCAGTCGTCTGTATAACAGTAAATTTTGTATTTTTTTGTATGAATAAAAAATCAAAATAGAAAGCAATAATAATATAAGAGGGGGCTAGAGATGTGACTAATGAACAGAGCATATGTTATTTTAGTGCCACGAATGTCTACCTTGTTTATTCTGGACCCTATTTTGAAATTGGCATCTTTTTTATTTGCATGAAATTGGCCAAATTGCCAATTTCTGATCACCATATTGGGTAGTCCAAATTAGTAAATGGGAGGTTTCTTGTACTCAGCTGATAGATAAAATGGAGTTCTAAAGAAATAGCTATGAGTTTGGTCAACTGGAACAATGGAATTGGCTGAAAATTGGGCTCAAAGTCGGCGAAATCGCCGATACGCATATGTCGCCGAGACCGCTAACTTCGCGGGAGCATAATTCCACGAGTTTTCGACCAAATTTCGAACTTTTGGTGTCATTACCATCGGGAAAAGATTCTCTATCATTTCATAAGAAAAAATTATTTTTTTTTTTTCAAAAATTGAGCGACATAGAATGACAGTTTCAGAGAGGGGCCTGAAACAGTCAAAGGGTTAAGCCTCCGCACTGTCGCTTGATCTTCAGATAGTTCCTGACTATGGAACTGAACTTCTCCAGGCCGAGGGACTGACAACCTCAAATTCTACGACTTTAAGGGTGATGGACTGATTACATCGTCTTCACATCTCTACTGCTCCTGCCTACTTTCTGTATTCGACTGAAGAAGCCTACTGTGTAGGCGAAACGTTTCCGAATAAAGATGTCTAACTGTTGCATATGTGTCTTACCTAACAACCTGTCGGTATTGTATACCATTTTGATGTTCATCTTGTCAGACACTGCAACACGTGGCATCTTGGTACAGAAAACACCTTGGACAAGCTTTTCAAGTGAGAAGGGTTGGATCTGAGAGGGACATGACCTCTCAGTTGCCTCTCACTACTACTACTACTACTACTACTACTACTACCCTGCACCTCTCCTTCCGACAGTATTTAAGCCTCCGCACTGTCGCTTGATCTTCAGATAGTTCCTGACTATGGAACTGAACTTCTCCAGGCCGAGGGACTGACAACCTCAAATTCTACGACTTTAAGGGTGATGGACTGATTACATCGTCTTCACATCTCTACTGCTCCTGCCTACTTTCTGTATTCGACTGAAGAAGCCTACTGTGTAGGCGAAACGTTTCGGAATAAAGATGTCTAACTGTTGCATATGTGTCTTGCTAGTGTATAGTTGAGATCATATTATGGTACAGTATTATGTAAGACAGTCGTGTTTATATCTAAAACAGAGGTCGGCGAATTTTTTGGGTGTTACCCCAAAACAGTTTTGTGTACAGAGAAATTACCCACCAGGCTAAAAATTATTAAAAAAAAAAAATACAATTTTCATAATTTGCCTTGCTTATTAAAATAATAAAATTTTGTGCAGTTTTATTTCTATGTTTATTGAGCTTTATTATCCCCGAAATTTTCATTATTATCTCATTTGGTGTAATTTACCCCGGCTCCCCGACCTCTGATTTAAAATGTAATAATATCTACGTAAGATTAATAGAGCCCTGGCTATCTTGAAGACAGCCAGGGGTCTTGAAGACAGCCAGGGGTCTTGAAGACGCCAGGGATCTATTTGTAATTCCCCTTATGTATGCTGGATAAGATACATTAACGACCATTGATATCCTTGAAAAAGCTCTCATCTTAATGTTGACAGCTCAGAACTCCAGCAGCTGTAGTTCTGAACTGTCAGCAACATTAAAGAACCAAGTGGTCTTTTAATATTGTATTCATTCTTATACTACCACCAAAATTCTCTACACCCCAATGGAAATAAGTCACTTTCTCTGACTTTTTTGGGGGGATTATCCTGGTAATTTACACTATGTATGATAATTGTACGTATGTGTCCCTGTAATGTAGCTGTCAGCGAGGGCAGACGTACGGGCAGATGGCACAGTTTATCCTCAGTAAATCCTGGGCTAGAGCAGATGTGGTATCCTTTCACCTACCACTCGAATGAACCCAAACTCGACAAATAGAGGTACCACGCAAAGTGTCAGGGGGCCCAAGATTGTTCAGCTGCCTCCCAGCATACATAAAGGGGATTACCAATTGACTCTTGGCTGTTTTCAAGATCCCTTGTTATCTTCAAGACCCTTGGCTGCCTTCAAGAGGGAGCTGGATAGACACATAGTCAGTACCTGACCAGACACGCTACGGTTCCTACAATGGATTGCATGCAGCTGGCAGTACCAGTCTGGTTGATCAAGCATAGAAGGAACCTATGCTATCTTCTGCTTAATATTTTGCAATATTTTCATTTTTTAAGGCTTTTGTATCTTTTTAGGTAATTAAAATTCTTCTATTAAAATTCTAACATTGTAGTAAATGTACCATGGCCTGGGAGGCAACGCTTTTACCTCACACACTGAGTGTCTGGGTTCTATCCCCGGCTGGGTGGAAACACTGGGCATGTTTCCTTACACCTGCTGTCCCTGTTCACCTAGTAGTAAGTAGGTACCTGGATGTTAGGTGACTGGTGTGGGTGGCATCCTTGGGGACAAGATTGAAGGATCACAATGGAAATAAGACCGACAATCCTCGATGACCCACTGACTTTCTTGGGTTATCCTGGGTGGCTAACCCTCCCTACCCTGGGTTATACTGGGAGGCTAACCCTCCAGAGTTAAAATATCTGAACAAAATCTAACTTATTTGAAGGTCACACAATTACTGTTTGAAATTAAGAGATAATGCTTTTGTTCAGATTTTTAACCCTGGAGGGTTAGCCACCCAGGATAAACCCAAGAATGTCAGTGCATCATCAAGAACTGTCTGTCTTATTTCCATTAGGGTCCTCAATCTTGTCCCCCAGGATGCCACCCACACCAATCGACTAACACCCAGGTACCTATTTGCTTGCTAGGTGAATGGGGTACCTATTTGCTTGCTAGGTGAACGGGGACAACAGGTCCGTTGTTTGAACCCCTTGCTGGGGATCGAACCACGGACACTGTGTGATGCGAGAGCATTGCCTACCAAGCCACAGGTCACAATTGGTTTTCTTTACACTCTAATGTGCAATTTTTATGGCTTTACAGTTAAAAGGAAAAGATATCACTGTTAAAAACCTAAAACCAGTTACGCTGATCGTGGAAGGATGTCAGGGAAACGACAAGCTGGAGATATCCATGAGATATATGGAAGAGCAGTTCAAGACTGTTGGAGTTTACCCATGCAAGAATCACCTCGAAGAAAGTAAGATGCCTGAGAAGGACTTCAACTTCACTCTGATAACCACTCCATGTGCATACAAAGTGATTGATGACCATCCAACTGCTCTAGTAGATATAAAACAAGAACTTATTGACAACGGGAACTTCAAGTTCCACATTATGTTTCTGTGCCTAAATTCTTGCCACAGGAAAAGGGGCAAGAAAATTGAACTTCTGCTGAAAGTCTTTAACCCTGGAAAGTAAGATATAATTTTTTATTTTTGTTAACAGTAAATTCTTAGATTTTACAGACTGATTGCATAAGACTGAATCGTCTTAAGTTAACTCTAAATACAGATTATGTTGTCATATGTTAAATAAGTAAATAAATAAGTATTGTCACTGAATAAGTTAATTAACAGATAATTACTGTAACTAAATACCAGTATTGAAAAGTCAGTAAATGAATGCAAGTTACAGACTTGCCGTCTTCATGCTGGGTAATTATCTTAAGTTTCATCTCCAAAGTAATTGTTTTTGATTATGAAAAGTTGAAATTCATAAGAAAAATATATTTTTCGACTTTAAACTTCAAGATTTTTTTAATTTGCAGGACGGCACTTCTGAAGGAAGAGCACATTAATTTACGCATTTGTAAGAACGTCAAACGTGATTACAAGGAACACAGTGAACTTGGCACTAAACGGAAGAGTTACTCCTTGATGAAGAACAGGTAATCATATTAAATTGAATCAATATTTTACAATACATCGATATCAGCAAAAGCCCCCACACCACGGGCCCTGAATATACAGCACTTCTTTGCAGCTTCCCATTTTTTCATTGGCTTAAAAATGATCATTTTCAATGTGTTCACCCGTGGTGAAACTCAAATGAACGTCATTAACCCCCAAAAAAACCATATGCTCCTTAAAAATCCGTAATCATGTCTGTGGTTCCCCCCTCACTCTTTTTAAACATGCCCAACATCCCTTCTGGATGTTTTAAAAAAATGTTATTTCTTTGTGATCCCAAAAATGTATTTTACAACATTAAAATATTTGTTACTTATTGACATAAGAATTTCACTGGATGTCACTTTAAATGAAAGCGGGAGAAAAATTCCCACGGACTCTGAAAAAACTTTGAACTTTTATTATATGCATGGGACTTACTATATGGGCTTTTTGAAACATGTGTTCAGTGTAAATTTCAGTGTGCAACAATGGCTGGTGTTGCCCCTTAGATGTGAAACATCAGACAAAACAGAAACATGGATGAGGGCCCAATCACATTGTAAATTGAGAGTCTGTCTTTTCCACGGTTAAAGCCTTTCTCCACTTTTTGTTTTTTTTGTTATTAAAATTTTACTAAAAGTTAACCAAGGCCCATTAAAATAGTTTAAAAGATAACATTTTGAATTTGAGAAAAGTTAAAGGGCTTGAGTGGAAAGTTGCCTAGTAGGATTATTGAAGCTAAACCTTGGGTAGTTTCATGGTTAGGTTGGAGAAATATTGAATGAGAGGGGGTTGGTTTGAGTGGGACTTGCTGGGAGAAAATGATTTGTCAGAGCTTTTGTTAAGTAGCCTGAAAGTGGGTTGGTATTGAAAGGCCCTCCCAAAAGTATGGGCCAACAGGCCTACTGCAAGTTTTTCCCTTTCTTATGTTTTTAAAAGTTTTTCCCTTGAGACACATTGGGGCCCCCTGTTTTGTATATAATAATTTACACAATACAAAAGTTCTCAATATTTTTTAGTATTCTTTTCCCTCACAAAAAAAATATGTTGTTTTTTCACTTTTAATCGAAATTGCTGAAAATTTATATTTTTTGGGGACTATTGCTTACCCTAAAATTTAAAATTTTTGACTAAATCTCAAAAATTTCAGATCAAAATCTAATGCCATAGTTGTAAATATAATTTTTTGGGCTTCACAGGTACAGGTCCAGGAAAAAAACTATGAAAATGGGAAACTTTTCAGTCCCCAGCCCCTTTTTGGTGAGACCCCGTATCCCCCGAACAAGAAATTTATAAAGGTAGGTTGGCAAAATTTTTTTATACTTTGGGCCCCAAAAAAATAAATTTTTCAAAATAATTCGACCGTGTTTTAATTAATTATGTCATACGCCCCTTCCCCACTTTTAAGAGGGAGTTCGTTCCTAAGACCCCGTGTTAAAAAAATTTGTCGTAAATGAAGACCATACTTAATGGTAAGCTTTTTTTCGCCCCTCTTTGATATTTTTTAAAGTCACCTTTCCACCATTTTTTAACATTTCTGGCATATTTTTAATGTTTATAAGTGGGGTATGTATATTGAAATAAACAGAATAGAGGAAATCAATTAATTAAATTATTTAGATATGCATATGGTCAGAGAGCCCCTCCTAGGTCCGAGGCATCGTTTAAAAGGTACTTTACTAAGTGGGAGGGCTGTATACAGTTAAACCCCGTGGGTTTAGTTTCCACCGTTTCAGGGGGAAAAGTATGTAAAAAGAAAAACAGTGTAGGTTTGGTAGCAGCAAAACCAGGGAGGTATATGTCCTGCCAAGTGAGTAAAACGAAAAAAATGGTGTCTTTTGTCTGTCATAAATATGCAAAATTTAGGTCGTCTTGTCTTCTATTACACTTTTGGTAATAACATTTTGTACAGTTTTTTTTACAACTCATCTGAGTTTTTGGAGCAAAAAACGTTGTCTTGGGCAAAAAGGGAATGTATGAAAGTATGTGTACCAAAAACTCTTATGGGTGTGAAGCTTGGGGTTTTGAATGCAGCAGTGAGGAGGCGGTTGGAGGCAGTGGAGATGTCCTGTTAGGGCAGTGTGTGGTGTAAAAATTATGCAGAAAAATTTGGGTGTGGAAATTTGGAGAGGTGTGGAGCTAATAAAATTTTTTAAGGGCGAAGAGGGTTTGTTGAGGTGGTTGGTCATTTTGAAAGATGGATCAAAATAGAATGACATGGAGGCTTTTAAAACGTAGAAGGAAGGCAGGGTAGGGTCATTCTCGAAAAAGGGTTTGGGAAAGGGAAAGGGGGAAAGGGAGGTTTTGTGGGCGAGGGGCTTGGACTTCCAGCAGGGTGCCCTGAGGTGTTTAGGCAGAATTGTTCCCGTTTTAGGGAGTATAAAAGGAGTGAATGGAGCGAAAGGTATTTGGGACTTGATGATCTGTTGGAGTGTGAGCAGGGTAATATTTAGTGAAGGGATTCAGGGAAAACGGTTATTTTTATATAGCCGGACTTGAGTCCTGGAAATGGGAAGTTTCAATGCCTGCACTCTAAAGGAGGGGTTCGGGATATTAGCGTTTGGAGGGATATGTTGTGTATCTTTATACGTTTTATGCTTCTGAACTGTTGTGTTCTGAGCACCTCTGCAAAAACAGTGATAATGTGCGAGTGTGGTGAGAGTGTTGAATGATGATGAAAGTATGACTTAAGAAATCGTAATGACACGATTGCAAATAAACCATACCCCCGGGGTTTTAATCCCGGCCGGGGGTTTTGGTTGATGATGAAAATATTTTCTTTTTGGGGATTTTCTTTCTTTTTTGGGTCACCCTGCCTCGGGGGGAGAGGCGACTTGGGTTTATATATATTTATATATATAGTATATATTTTTTTACTTTTGATTTATATATAATATTATATAATATAAATATATAATATATATATTTATATAGTAATATATTTATATTTTTTATATTTTTATTTGTATTTTAGTATATATATGTATATATTTATTTTATGTATATATATTGTATTTTTATATGTATATATATTATGTATTATATGTATATATATATATATTTTATATTGTATATTATTTTTGTATATTATAGTATTATTATATATTATATGTTATAATTATTTATTTTGTATTTTTATATGTATTATATATATGTAATTTTTTTTATGTTATATATATTATATAATGTATATATATATGTATATATATATTTTGTATTATTTATATAAAATTATATATATTATGTATTTTATATTATGTATTTATATTTATATATATAATGTATATATATTATGTATATTATATTATGATATATTTTATATATGTATATATATATGTTATATATATATATGTATTATATATATATATATTTATTATATTATGTTTATATTTATTATTTTATATATTGTATTAAAATTATATTTTATAGTATAATGTTTTATATATGTATATATATTATTTTTTATGTATATATATTATTATATATGTATATATTTTTATATTTTGTATAATATGTATATTTATTATATTTATATTGTATATATATATATATATTTATGTATATATATGTATTATATATATGTTATTTTTATGTATATATATATGTATATATATGTATATATATTATATGTATTATAATATTATGTATATATATTGTATATATTATTATATATATTTGTATATATATGTATTATATATGTATATATATATATATATATATTAAATTATATATTATATATATATATATATATATATATATATTTATATTTTTATTATATATATATATATTTAATATTTAATTATTTTTATATAAAATTATTTTATATTTTATATATAAATTTTAATATATATAATAGTAATATATATTTATAAAATTTATTTAAATTTTTATTTTATTTATTTTAATTTTAAATAATTTTTTTTTAAAAAAAAAAATTTGAAATATAAAACAAAATTAAATAAAATTAAAAATTTTAGGGTTTTTGTTAAAAATTAATTTAAATTAATAAAATAAAAAAATAGTATAAAAAAATTAAAAAATTATATAAAA